CAGATAGAATAACTCAGCTTTTTAAACTCTATCAATTCTGAGTCTTTGTTCCTGCCAGGTAAACATGAAACCTTCTGGTATCAGCCATCTGTAATTTATTCCTCTCTTAAGTAACTCTTTGGTCAAAAATAAATATTCTCTTCTTATATCTCTCACTCTTCTCAGTTCCTCTTTCAGTACCACTATTTCTTTACTTTAGTGTTTTCTCTCTTGCCGTATTTGTGATTTAATTATTTTCTTAGTAAATCTGATATTAACTTCTCTTGGTAGTTTATTTCTCATCACATGTCTTGTATAGACAAGGAAGACCTTGGATATTCTTTGGACTGTTAAACGTATATGACCTGGACCGTTTATTGGACTGTGCTATTTCTTAAAGTAAACTTTAACTCAATTTAGTGTATCTGTGTGTGAATGGATAATTATTCATAGCTATTCTCATAAACATTTCCATGTGCATATCCTTGTTACTCAAGGGTTATTCTGTACATATCATAGCATTGGTTATGGGCCCAGAGATATATTGAGAATCAGTGTGAATATACAGTTTCATATTCAGCCAGCTGATCGCGGTTTATTGTGAAACTACCAATGGCACAAGAACAGTCAACCAGTATATCCCAGATAACCCGGTTGGATGGAACAAACTATGTTTCCTGGTTTATGAAGTACAGCCTACTTCTGCGTAAAGATGGATTATGGACTGTAGCTAATAATCCACCAGATGTAACAGCTTGGGACCCATTGAATGATGAAGATAAAAAGAAAATAACTGACTTTAACCAGGATAATGAAAAGGCTTAATTGGACTGACACTGAGTGATCAGCAGTTAGTCCATATTTGTGGGGAAGAATCTGCTGCTAGGTGTTGGGACATTTTGAAGAAGATTTATGTTCGAGATAGTGTGGGTGCACACATACACCTTACACGTAAACTGTTTAGAGCCTGTCTTATAAAAGGTGATGATATGTTATCTCATTTGGAGTTTATGAAAAGGACTTTACAAGAGCTACAAGAAAAGGAGCTGATTTTCTCAGAGTTGCATCAAGTTTACATCACTCTTTCTTCTTTGGATGAAACTTATGATGATTATGTGTCTTCACTGGAAGTTTTAAACAGATGAACTTACATTGACTGGCATAACTGGAAGACTTTTAGAAGAGTCAAGAAGAAGGCAAGATAGAAATCAATGCAGAGAAGGACAAACACAGGAAGAAAAACTGTCTTCAACTGCCTATATTGTTAGGAAATGTTTTTCTTGTGGGGCTAAAGGTCATATAGCCAGATACTGTAAAAAGGGTAAGAAACAGAATGCTATTAATATACAAAGAGCTTATAAGAGCTTATAAAGTTTAGCCATATCAAGTACAACTACAACTGTAAACCATGATATATGGGTAGTTGACAGTGGAGCATCGCAGTGTATAACTAAAAATAAAGAGGTTTGTCAACATGACAAAGAGTAAACAGCATGTATCATTAGCTAATGGATGGAAATTGAGAGCATCTGGAGAAGGTACTGCATATTGTTCATGTATTAATGAACGTTTACCGATGTTATATGTACCTAGAGTGACATTTAACTTGCTATCTGTAAGAGCAATGGTAAAAGCAGGATTTGTTGTAACCTTTCAGGGAGATAAATGTGTAATTGAAAAACAGGGTAAAAGCGTTACTGCAAGATTGGATAATGGTTTGTTTATTATACATGATAATCCATTAATTAATGCTAACTCAGTTTATGAAAACAAAAAGCCTCATGATGAATGTATTCATCTGCTCCATAGACGTATGGGACATATAAATTTCAAAATGCTAAAGAAAACTGTTGAGTTATCTAATGGTATAAAATTAAAACCTTGTACAAAGTATTTAAATTCCAGTGCTTGCAATCAAGAAAAAAGCAACTCCTGCAAATAGGGTAAATGGATTCAAAACCAGTGAACCATTAGAGGTTGTTTTTACTGATATTATCGGACCTAAGAAACCTAGTTTAGGTGGAGCCTGTTACATATTAAGTATAATTGATCATTTTTCCAGATATGGTTTCTGTTATTTAATGAAAACGAAGAAAGAAACATAGCATTTTGTAAACTGGCTAAAATTTTCTGAAAGGAAAAAAACAGAAAGTTATTAGATTAGTAACAGATAATAGAAAATTTGAAGCCATGTTACAGAAAGCTGGCATTGAACATAAGCATTCTGCTCCTTGTAGACCACAACATAACTCATATATTGAACGTAGAGGACAAACATTACAGGCTATGGCTAAAACTATGATTTCGGATTCTGGTTTATCAGAGGAACTTTGAGGTAAAGCAATAATGTGTGCTAACCATGTTTTGAATAACGTAGTGAATTCAATGACTGGTGAATTACCATTTACTCATTGGAATGGAAAAAAGCCAGATCTCAGTTATTTACATACATTTGGAACCCCAGCATGGGTTCATATTCCCACGCAAATAAGGCAAAAGGGACAACATAGAGCGAGACAATTAGATTTTGTAGGTTATGAAGCTAATCATAGAACATTTAGATTTTGGGAGCCAGGTATTACTAATGTATATTGCAGTGGAAGTGCTAAATTTCTGGAGCATGTTGGCTGGAGAAAGCTTGAACAGGAATATAATAAGGTACAGGATAGTGTTGTTGTTGAGACTCCATTGTTTACCGATAATCCTGATGATAATAATATTGATGATAAGATAGTGGAGGAATCCTCAATGGAGGAATCATCAATAGAAGAACCCTCTATGACTGTAGAAGACGAGGATTTGATAGGGGAGGTAAAGGAAGAGGACATGCCAACAACATGTACTGAGTTGCCTAGGAGGTCAACTAGGGAGAGACGTCCACCTGACAGATTTCAAGCAGGCATTGTATGTCAGGTTAATACAGAACCTTCTAACTTCAATGAAATAAAACCGTATCCTATAAAGGATCAGGTAGCTTGGCAGGAAGCTATGAATAGGGAGTTAAAATTGTTAAAGGATTTAGAGGTGTATGAGGATGTAAAGTTACCACCAGGTGAGCATGCAATAGAGGTTGCAAATGGGGGTATAAGATAAAGAGTGGTATGGATGGGACTATTACCCATAAAGCAAGATAAGTTGCTCAAGGATTTGCTCAGTCAGATAAGGACTATGATGAAGTGTTTGCACCTAGTCTGAGAGCAAATACATTGAGAACAGCATTAGTTTGGGCAGCTAAGAATAAATGTAAAATAAACCATGTAGATTTTGAAACTGCATATCTACATGCACCTTTACAATATACCATCTATATGAAAAAGCCATTAGGTTTAAAGGATGATGGAAAAACTGATTATTGGAAAGTAAAGAAAAGTCTTTATGGTCTAAAGCAATCCAGTTATGAATGGAATAAATATATTGTAAAGGAATTAGTTTCAATAGGTTTTGAAGCTGGTATAGCTGATCCTTGTTTGTTCAGAAGAGAAAAAGATGGTTTAATTTCTCTGTTACTGTTATTTATGGATGACATAACAATTATAACTAAAACTGAACAAGAAGCAAATGATATTGTTTATAGATAACAGAAAAAGTTCAGGATTAGAAATTTGGGGGAAATTAAGCATTATTTGGGTCTTGATATAGTGAAAACAAATAAAGGTTTTAAAATTTTGCAAGCCAAGAAGATTAGCCACATTAAAATGCTATAACATGGAGCATTGTAAATCTGCTAAGACACCAATGAGTAAGGAATTTACACATAGTGATATTAAAAGTCCTCCGTGTGCTTAAAGCAGGGCCATGAGCACACACACACACACACACACACACACACACCCTGCTCCAGCCCTCCCAAAGCACCTCTGCTCCACGTCCTGCGACGGCAAACCATCACTCTGAGTGGGTCGCTGGGGAAGACCAAGGTGAAGGCTAAGAATTCCATGTATAAAAGCACACACACACACACACACACACACACACGCCCCAGCCCTCCCAAAGCACCTCCGCTCTGCGTGCAGCGATGACTGGGGCAGCGGGTGCTCCTGGCCCTGCTGCTTTAAGCACCTCCACGTGCTTAAAGCAGGGCCGTGAGCGCGCGCACACACACACACACACACTCTAGCCCTCCCAAAACACCTCTGTGGGCGGCAGAGGCAGCAGACCTGGCTGCCTCCCATTTGACGGCACTGCTTATGGGCGGCGGCCGGGTCCGCCGCCTGCCACAAGGTAAGGAGAGCTGGGAGAGTACTGTGTGGCGGCTTAGCCGGCCAGCCGAGCCTGGGGATGTTGGGGAGGGCAGCTAGGTAGGCTGGGTGAGGCCCGGGGAGCCCCAGGGACAGTGGGGGAAGGGCAGGCTTACCTATGAGCAGGCAGATTGACTCCGGGCTGTTTCTTTCACCTGCTCTTGCTGGGAGAGCCTCTCCCGGCAGAGGGAAAAGCTTACAAGGCCCCTCCCTTCAGGAAACAGCTCCCGGGCAGCAGAGAGAAATGGGATTCAACCGGGCTGCTTTTCTGCTGCCCATGAGCGAAAGGCAGGCAGCAATGACTGGCCTGGCGGGCAAAAGCAGCTGTAGGCATGTTGCGCATGCGCACAATGTTGCACCTGTGTAATAGGGACTGACTGGGCAGGGAGCGGAGAAGCGGGCAGAGAGGGATGGGGCCAGCCAGGGGGCCATTTTACCAGTTCTCTGAACTACTGGGAGCCCTAACATCCAGTTCTATAGAACCGGACAGAACCGGTAGAATCCCACCCCTGCTTGGAATATCCTAGTAAGCACTGTAGTTCCACACATAAATGTTGGAGGAAATCCTACTAAGGCAATGGAGCTTACTTTTCATCAGACATTCATGAAAATCTGCTGTTAGCCTGGCAGAGGATAAACAATGTCCACTTCTTATTCAGATAAATCTGATAAAAAGTGGCGATGAATAGTTAGCTTCTTATATTTTATCATAAGCTACAATAAACATAAATTATGTAAGGAAAATTTAAATGAGCCTCTATTTTGGGGGGTGGGGGAGCAAACCTTACCTCCATTAGCTGATTTCCCTCCTGTGCATCAGCCTGGAAACCATTTGCAGTGGAGACTGCTTTGTAAGTAGCAATGGATGTTTCACTAGCAGGTCCTGGATGAAATCCAGAAATATTGCCAACCTCTTCGCTAAACATTTGGTTCATATCAAGTGTCAAGGGATGCTCCTCCATAAAAATACTAGAATCAGGAAGACTTTGGTCACCTTCTCTTTCTTCTTCTTCTCCTTGTTCCTCTACAAGACAGCTAATAGGTTCTACTTCAACATCTTCTTGCCCTGAATCTCTCTTGTGGGTTTGCTCTTCCATGCTGGCTGATGTGGGTTCCCCCTTGAAGTGTGCAATTGTTTTCCTAATAATTATTTTCTCTCTGGGCTTCCCTGTAAGAAACAAGTATTTTTATTCAGCTTTATTCCACAGATCTATAGCTGGGATTAAAATTACCCTTTGTAACTCATTTGTGGGGGATGACTTCACAGAGATTTTAAAATTATTAATTGTAGGATTAAGCCTATGCTACAGAGAATTGCGTAATAGTACACAATTCACAGGCATTTGGGAACAAAGTGATAAAAACAGTTGAGTTTTTTTGTTCCCCAAATCTATACCTTAAGAAGGAACCTTGTCCCACCTGTCTCCCCCCAGATCTGTTGAAGCATCAGCACCTTATCTGCTCTTATACTTTTATTTTATAAAATGGGCAATCAGCCCACCAAAGCTTTCCATTAAGAGAATTTATCCAACAGATCATTAGGGCTGAGCATACTTAGAAAATTAAGTACCTTAGAACTCACAGGCGAGCAGCACCTCTCCCAGCTATTCATTAAAGCAGCTGGTCTTTAGGTTTCTGTCTCAGCCTCGAAAAATGTAACTGGTTAAAAAAAAAAAACCACTGAAGTCCATGAGCTTGTCAAAAACCCCACATCTGAAAAAGCCTGAAAAAGATGTGCTGATTTATCATGTCACCCAGAGGTGCTACTCTCATGTAAATTCTGAAGTATTTCCCCAAAAACATTTTTGAAATATTCGATCCAATTAACTGCTTTTTTGTATGTGGAAGGAGAGTGAGTCCTTCTATAGTGCTTTATTTGTAAATGATTTGGAATTTCCTTTTGTACTTTAAATGGTGCTCTATCGTTATTCGGCAAGAGATCTGACTGATTCACACAATCTTTTTAATGCTTACAACGGTGTTCCTTCCCCAGAGGCTTCAACAATGATATCCAATAGAAGAGAATATACATAGCTCAGAGTTGATGGTCCTTGGTGGTCTCTGAGCTGGTTATTGATCGCAGATGTTTTATACCCAACTAAGTAACATCATCAGTGCCCTAGTCTACCAATGACTTCTTTATAGTAGTGGCCAGAAAAACTAAAGAAAAACCAGGAAGCTTCATCAGGAAAGGAGACTGATGATGGCATAAATGTGCTAAAATCTTGCCCCTGCCAATTTAAATGAGTATTTTCAACTTTAGAAAAATAATGCAACTAAATATAATCTCACTAAAGCTCCTTGCTTACTGGTGGATAAACATTTTCCCAGTTTTCCTTCATTCATTTCTTGGCTAATTTTCTTTCCATTTACCTTGAACTTGACAAAGGGTTACTTTTGGTAAAGCAGATTACATGGCTACCAATCTAGCCCTTGCTTATTGAGAAACTGTTAGAAAATTCTGTCATTCTTCTCCACCCCCCTGTAATTGTTGATATGTAATAGCAAAGTCATACCTACAACAAACTCCTTTTGACTTTGGTATTTCTTTTTCTTCAAACTCTTTTTTTGTTTTTTCAACCCATCTCCAGCTTTCTGTATTGGCTGTTTTTTTGGTCTTTCACTCCTTTTGCTCTTTAAAACATCTTCAGCCTGCAAACAAGAAAAGAAGAATCAGATATAGACCTTTCCTTTTTAATGTCACCCTACCCTCTGTCTGGGAACCGAGTGCATGAACAAAAGTAGAGGCTGGGCCTAATCCAATTCATCCTTATTGGAATTTTTCCAGAAAGGAGCATCTTTTTCTCATCTGCACTGAGCATCTCTGACGTGAACTGCATCAATCTACTGATTGACCAACCAACTACCAACCTTCCTATGTCTATTGACAATTAAAGGATAAATAATAAACGAACCACTGCTGGGAGAAAGAATACATGAAGCATCTCCACAAGATCTAAGAAGCCCAGAAAGCCACATCTAGGACAGAATGGTAAGAGAAAAGGGAGAAGTTGCAAGGGAAAAGGCAAATGTTTCATGACAATTAAGGGAGATTAACATGAGTGTTGCCTTCCAGCAATACTAAAGCCAACCTGGAAACTCACATTATACATTTGCCAAATTCTAGTTTTTCTAAAAGTGATGAGATAATGGTGCTCTGAAATTTATTACCAAATAGATCCATGTCACCAAATCCAGCTGTTTCTCTCCTTCCTCCCTATATCCCCAATAACCCAGGTCCAGATCAGTTTTGTTTGTGTTTCAGGCACAAGATGCAAACCCCAGCCCATACCTGTTTCAGACGGGCAACCCCAGCTGGCTGGCTGGTTGACTCTGACAATGCTGTCATATCTTCTTCCATGCCAAATATTTCAGAAGCATACAGGTCAATTCTTGGATTCTCCATAACTTCTTCATGGTAATCAAAAGGTTTTATGGAATCATATTCAGGATTTGGAGCTTGCCTTCTTTGATAATACAATTAGGGGATTATGTTTAGGTCAGATAAACTCTTAGAAAGCTCTCTCCCAAGCATATAATCTTTCTTCCACCTTGTAAAATTAGCAAAATCAATCAAAGGACAGATAGCTTTGATTGACCTTTTCCTAGTACTGTTCTCTTAGTATTTACTTCCAATTGCTAATACTTCTTGAGCTATAACTCAGGAATGAGCCCTATCCTGTCTCCTCATTTCCTGGGAAAAGGAAAAAAAATATTTATGTAATATTAATGGACCTCTCAGGACTCACTTAAGTTGATAGTTGCAGAAATATTCTGCTCGTTGTTCTCAACCTTTCCTTCAACACCTTTAAATACCTTTTGTGGCTATGGACCCCCAATACTTAACTCAAAATTTAAATCCTAACACTTCTTCAAGCCTTCACAGGCTCCCAGTGACCCCCCCCCCGGGGTCCTCAGACTATAGGTTGAGAACCCCATTAAAATGGTTCTACCCCATTTTAATCTCTTAATTTCCCAAAAGGTCTTTTCAAAGCCTTGGGAAGCACTACCTGGTTTAATTCCCTAAAATTACTGCACATTCAGCCTGATGGAGTCTTTGTAATCTTGCATTATATGAAAATATGGTGGGTGGAAATAGTTAGTCCTGAAAGGCCACCTTTTTTGAATCCACATAAATACAGGATAAATTATGTGGCCCAAGGTGGTTGAAGAGACCCTAAGATTTTTGATAATGTTTGATGAAAGTACCTTGTTTGACAAAAAAAAGCCTTGTTTGTTTGCTTGTTCATTTATTACTGGTGTTTTTATGTAGCTCTACTCTAAAACAGGGGTGATTTCATTGAGAACCACATCAGGGTTGTGTTTGACCTTGGGGGGCTGGGGTGGGCATGGCTGGGGTATGTGAAGCCAGCTTCATGTCACTCATCTTGGGGGCACCTGTGGTGGCCTGAGTGCTCTGCCAGCAAAACAGGCTCCCAAACTTTGTTTTCAGCTGCAACAACTTCCTGCATGCCTCTGCCAGTGAAAACGGAGTTCGGGAGGGCCACGGGAGCACCGCAGGCTGGTCCTTTGCTGTTTCCAGGGCGGCCTTGTGGGCCAGCCCTAATTAGCCCATGGCCGGATTAGGCCCCCAGGCCTTGAGTTTGATGCCCCTGCTCTAAAAGAACTCTGAGTAGTTTATGGCAAAGATAATAACATTATAATAATATGAACCAATAGAGATAGAGCTTAAAAAGAAATCCAACCTCCCCCAAATATTGAAAAGTTGACTGTTCTTAGCTATTTTAGCAATGTAGCACCTACCAGATACATTGGACAATAGTTCTCAAAACTGGCAGCCAATTTAGACAGTCTGGAATTCTAGAGTTTGTAGTTCAATATAGTTGGAGTGTCTCTGTTAGGAATGATAGTCACCTAACAGTTGGGTTGGAAATATATAAACCAGGATAGTCATTTAATACTGTATCTTTAAGAGAATGCTGTAATTGTGATTGGCTGAGGTTCCTCCAACGGCCATAAGATGGAGCCAGAAACCTGGTTTCTTTCTCCTTGCATTTCCTGTTTTGCCGTTTTGCCTGATCGTCGTTCTGCTTGGATTGCTATGAGTCTTGCAACTGTTAGCAAACTCCGTTTACTGAACTCTGTTTATGATACTTGACTTTGTTTTTGGATTATCCCTGGACTGATACTAACTGCTTTAACCGTGTATGATTTGGACTGTTTGTTGGACTTTGTTTACCCGTTTACTGGAAGTAAAACCTACATTTTACTATTCAGTGTATCTGTATGCTGGTCGGGTGTTATTCAGCATCACTCTCACTATGTTTCCCTGAATGTACTCATTCTCCTAATGGGGAATACCTCAACAGTCTCAAAAACTACTAGTTGGAAAATAGACAAATATACAACCATCTACACATTATACCTACATAGTATACAGTATATACCTCTCAGGTATCTAAGTAAATCTTTTAACTATTGACAAATTAAAATGTTTCTCCAAGTTTGCTGATGCATCAGGTCTATGTGCTTGACTGTCTTATTTTCCTACGCTGAGCTCTTCTACAAGTTAGTAGCTGTCCCATATACTTACATTTCAGATGTATAAACCTTCAAATGAGCAAGATGTGGTTCATAGTGGAAGAGATTAGTTGATTGATCTGAGAAATCTAATTGTTTGCCTTCATCTACAAAGGAAGAGGGGTGGTAAAAGAGCTACATTTTTAGCAGATTACATTTTGAATCTTGGCAAGGAACCAGATAAACATGCAAATCATCAGCCAGATAACTCATCCCTTTCTGAGAAAGTTGGCCCTTCCATTAAGCAGAGTGAAGTGACCTTCTCAAGCAACTGATCCTGGTATCATGAACAGCAGCAAATTGTTAGTAATTTAATGTGGTGTTTACTATATTGTATTTGCTCAGCATGAGAGGGAATGTTGTGGCCTCATTTGCCAAAATTAGATGGCAAGGATTTCTAAATATCTATTTCTAATATAAATTAGAACCTATTAAAGTTGACTTTGTTTCTATGCTAGTCACATAAATAGATCCCCTAACAGATGGGATTAGACGAAACTTTATTTATCTAACCCTAACCCCAATCTAAAAGCTTAAAATGATTTCTTCAGCTGGCCTTATAAAGGCGGAGTTTTTATGTCTTTTGCTTTCTGTGACATTACCTCTATCATGTGAAAATGCTAACTGACTGCATGGGAGCAATTTTTTAGAGTGAGCTTCTGAGGAGAAGAGTGCTACTGTCTGGAATAATTACAATTACTTTTGTTAATTCATGTATAACTACAAGAGCATTGCATGGCAAAAAACAACAACAACACCTGGCAATGCTAGCTTTAAAAATGAAGTCTCCAAATCTGCAGCATTCAGCCAAGGGGTTCCTTGCAATAGCATGAAACATCTGGAAGGAAGCAGCTTTGCCATCCCTACTCCCTATGTGTACACAAAGTGCAGTGAGTTGTAGCTTTAAAAATGAACTCTCTGAAGGATTTTCCTTTTTTAAAAAAGCTAAATTTTACATGTTTTTTTCTGCCTATACTACTTGAGGAAATCTGGGAATTGAAGTTTACATATCTTAAAGGTATCAAGGTTGAGAAATACTGGACTAGACCAAAAT